CTTGGAAGACGCTAGTGATCCTCAGCTAGTCACCTAAAAAGACACAAACACTCCGGTTGGGGGTGCCGGAATTAGCACTCCGACGGAAAAGTCAGTTCTTGTACTCAAAATAGCTTCTAAGTTAAGCAAAAAGTGATTGTTACATACCTTTCTAAATCTGTGGTTCTTGTATTTATACTTGCTTTTTGGGCCTCGAGGCTTGAGCCTACTTTTATCCCATTTCCCTTTTATTTATTCGGAGCTACTGATCTCCGGCTATTCGGCCTTCCTAACGTATTCGGCATCCTAGTCACACGATATGGAGTCGAATAATATTTGATCTCTAGGGTACGCACCTTTCGACTCTTCTATTTATTCGGCTCCCACACCTAGGCCTAGTTTAAGGCATCTCAATGAGGATATTGATGTAGAACCACACTGAGTCAAGATAGGGATTAAGTTATTATTTCCCAACTGTGTAGCTTAGTGTGTGTTCATTCTGTAACTGTGTAGGGTTGGCATCCGAGGACGCGTACTAGCTTACCTGTAGCCCAGAACTCTGTGAGTAACAATGTTGTAAAGATATGTTCAATTGAGATTATTTTCTGAACAATGACTGTACTACTTTATGAAGTAACACTGTTTACTGAATGAATGTTTGTCCTATTTGTGAGCTATATTCGTGGCATTCATGGCAATTTATTGTTACTGAATTGTTACTGCTACGGTTACAGAGATCTTTGTCGGTTCCCATGTTTGGAACCATTACTGATGGCCATCATTGACTGCTCGGTCTGTTAAGACCTACTGTACTATTTTGCTATTGGATGTACCACATATGACTATTATATTTTCCGAATGACTGTTATGGCATGAATTATGAGCCACAAATCGAATGACTGATAGACTGATAAATGACTGTTTTCAATACTGAAGGGACATTCATTCTTAACCTCTTTACGCATATGTTATTCATTGGGCTTGACTGTTTTCAATACTGAAGGGACATTCATTCTTAACCTCTTTACGCATATGTTATTCACTGGGCTTTAGTTCACTGCTCATATATATATATATATATATATGTAGGTGTACAGGCACCAGACCGTTACTAGGAGCATTGGGCTAAGCTTCCGTTTTGTCAAAGCCAACCACCATGCCTCACTGCGAGGTTCCAAGTCTTTCAAGCTAGGGCTTTTTGGGGTGTTTTAGTTTTTCCCCTTTTTGTATCTGGTTTTGTAACACTGTATAGTCTGAATGATATGTGTACCTGTACTGTACTGTTATGGTAGGGACTTGGTCCCTAACCTAAATATTTGTATATGATGTATGTACATACTGCTATGGTTTCAAGGTGTATATGTTATGAAAAGTCTTTTTGCATACAGACTGTCACAGCTCATTGGACATCTTTTAATTACTATTTTGGTTTCCGCCAGCCCCTATACTCTGTATTATTGTCTTACTATTAAGCAGGCTTTCGGTAATCTCGGATTACTGGTCGGTTACGGTGCTAAACCCATAGGGGCGGGTTTGGGTCGTGACAGCACTTCATAGGTAAAGTCCACTATGGCCATTTTGATTGACGATTTTATACATGGACAAATGTTATTTCAACAGCACTCTTTACTTGATTGATCACATTATGTAATATTTAAAATTGATGCTCAAATTTAATGTCCTCTCTGTTATTGATAATTATCATTTTTGTTAAGTTCATCTAATTATCACTCTCCATAAAAATTAAAAAAAAATTATTACTGAATAAAAATATAGGAGACTTATGTGTAAATCCTAATAAGTGTACTTATTGTCTAATAGGTCCTATGATAATTAATGATATAACGATTCTAGTTTCGACCCGACCCATTTTATATTTCGGACTTGGGTTTCATAGTTTCGTATTGTTGTTCATGTCTTGTTTCCCTTGTACATCCTTAAATTTAGTTATTGGACTGTAGTGGTTGTGTTTGGAACAGATTGGTTGCTTAGTTTTCAAACCTTTGTTGCCTAGAATTTTATTCCTTTGCTTGAATGACACTTTTTGTGCTCCAGCGGGCTTTGTAAACTCTCAGTACTTTTGCAGGTCTGCAAAACTATTGGAAGAGTATATTCTACGCTTGAGTGGGCTCAGCTTGAGCGGCCTTTCTTGAGCTCGAGCGTTGGTCTGTTGTCTGCAAAACTACTGGGAGTGTGCATTCTGCGCTTGAGCGTCACTTCTTACGCTCGAGCGAAACAACTTATTGTATCTGACGCTCGAGCGTCACTTCTTGCGCTCTCGAGCAGATTATGCGTATATCAGTTCGCAGCAACACCTTTTAACATCACTTTTTCATATCTTTTTCTCTTGAAACCCTAGATCTAAAGCCTCTCTATCTAAAATTTACCTTCTCTCTACATTTTCACCTAGATTTAGTGATTTCTCTACCCGTGTGCCTTTGTTAAAATGGTAGAGCATCGCAAGGGTTACGTTTTGATCCGAATAGAGCTTGGTTTCGGCATCTTTAAAGTCTCTCCATCTTTTCCTTGGGTTTCTAAACTTGAGATAGAGACTTTCTACACTATTTTATGAGTTTTAACTTAGTTATTTGTTGATGTGTAAGAAATATTAGAATTTGGGGTGATTTTCAACAAACCTAGGGTTTTACTTTAAAATCAAAAGAGGAGTTTTTCAATGTATGTATTAAAATTGGTTATGAGAGTAGATGTGAGGTTGTGTTGTGATAAACTCACTGATTTTGATAACCGGGGTGAATTTTGGAAGAAAAGGGAATTTTGCCCCAATTGTCTCGAATAGTTATTTTGTGTAAAAATATGAAATTGGCATTGGGAATATGAAATTGAATGGACGTTTGTATAAATGATGGAGTTGGGTATGTATTATCTCTCATCTATGGAAATTTGGTTAATTTATCTGTCTTGAAGATTATATATTTGTTTAGAAATATTTGTATTAGGCTATCGGTGAAGGATATCTATGATTGTTGTAGAAATTGTATGAGGATTAAGTGAATTGAAATTAATCTTTTATTCCATTGTCATTAATATGACTATGTTTTAATACATTGTAAATGTATAATGTGTAGAGGAGAAAGATGATGTACTCTATGTAGGAGAGAAGAAAGGGGATGGACTCTATTGAATTAAGTTAGCCTGTGTCTATGGTAAAAGTTCTAAAAACCATATGTATATATGGGTGCCGGTTCCTGCAGACGAAAAATCCGTAAAATGACAAATGGAAGTGTTTGTATAATGGCTATGTTGATTAGAAACCCATCGAGTTGTACCCTTAGTGTAGTTGTCTGAATGAATTGGTGAATGACTTATGAAATGAGATAAAACAATGAATGAATCATGAAACAAGATAAAATGAATTGAGATAATATGAATTGTGATATAAAACTTGGCATGACATAATTTTGCAAAGAGTTATAAATGATTTTTATCACGGGCATTGAATAGTCGTCTCATACTTATATCTTTGTTAAAATTCATATATTGTGTTGATTGTTCCTAGTGGGTTTTGGCTCACCCTATTGGGTTTTGGCTCACCCTATTGGGGAACACTATTTTCAGGTGTTCGAGATATGCCTCCATCAAGACAATAGTTTGGAGAGATTTGGAGCAAGAGCTTCTTTTTTATTGTATTTACTTTGTATAGCCAAGAGCTTAATTGTATTGAGCTAGACTCATTTTTATTGTAACCAAGTAGTGACTTGGAAATATGTAAGTCTTTAGAGCATATGAATATTTGTTTAGCTTTCATTATTTTTAACTAGTTGTAACACATGCTGTAGATTTAGGATGAGCTATTTATAAATGTATATCGCATGTGTCACCTTTTTTAAATTAACTCTTATGAATGAAAGTACTTTGTTTCAACTTGGTTTCCACTTATGAGATGGGTTTATCATATTTATTTTGGATCGTTATAAATGACATTTTTTTTATCAAATACTATAAAACAATGTCACTAATTATTAATTTTTAGCGACAGTTTGAAAATTTTGCCATAAAAAGTCAATAATTATAAGTTTTAATAATATTTTTAAAAAATTGTCACAAAAAAATCACTAATTTTTAATTTTCAGCGACAGTTGAAAAATTCATCATAGAAAAACGTCACTAATCATAACTTTTAGCGATAATTTATAAAAATTGTGACAAAAAAAGTCAATAGTTGTCAATTTTTAGCAATATATGCAAAAAATCGTTACAAAAAATTATTTTTAGTGATGATTTTACTAGTACTTACTTTTAATAAGATTTTATGGAAATTAAATTCAACTATTAGAACCTATTAACCCTAAAAAAAATATTACATTTGGAGGGTTGGATTACAAAGAAAATTATGTTAAATTATTTAATAATGTTATACTGACTAAATTTTATAATCAAAATTTAAATATCATAATATGTATTATGACATATATTTCAATATACTTAAGTGGATGTGCACACATACAGATGTGCTACCAAATCTACAAAGCGAGTGAGGGATTTTTTTAATTTTTTTAAAAATTAAATTATTTGTCATATCTGCTCTTACCCATATTACATTTTCATTTAAGAAAAAAACATTAATTATCAATTATTTTTTTTTTAGATGAGAGAATTACCAATTTAGTTCTAAATTTTATATAATAATATAAGATATTATAGATTAATTTAATGGCCGAATTTCGTAACGGGAAATTTTACTATGCACGCTCCCATCTTTAAGTTATATTATTTTTTTCTTTAGTTATGAATTTATTTTAATGATAACTCATGAAATTTTTTATTGTGGCTTAGATATTATTTAGTTATAATTATTTTTTTAATTATGATTCAAAAAGAATAAAATTATATTATTTTTTTATTTAATTATGATATTCATACGGTACACACCTTTTAGCCTTTCACTCCGTTGACCACTGAAATTTATTTCTTACTTTATTTTACTATTGTTTTTAATAAATAAAAAAAGTGAGCGAATATAAAATTTCAAAAAATATATAATTTGGATTAATTAATAAACAAAATGAATGTTGTGCACTAACAGTAACAGAGATAACTGCAAAACGAACAATCTTCCAGATCGAAATGCAATCAGACAATCCTTGTTCTTCTGACAGAGACGAAGAAGAGCTTCAAGTCTCATCACAGAAACCCTAGATTTCAAACGATGAAACCCCTGATTCCGACTATGGGTTTTGGGTATGTCGGGACATGTGTTAAAGGTAACCAAATCTCTGAGTCTCTAATGGGTATTAGATTGATTTTTACTCTGTTTTGAGGTTATGCTGATTGAGCATTGACGTGTGGATCGATATTTGAAGTTTTGGGAAGTTTTGGATTTGGACATCGATTTGGGTTGCAATTCCTGTTAGGACTGGTGAGTTTTGTGATTTTTTGAGTTTTGATTTGATATCGAAAGAAGAAACCGAGGGAAAAACTTTAGATGAACTGAAACACATAATTGATAATTTGTGGTTTTGTTTTGGAGTTGGGTTTTGTGTATAATGGGAAATCAGATTGAGTTTGTTTGTTGAGAATTGTCTTTGGTGATTGGTGGAACTGAATTGAATTTTGCAGCTCCTACTAGTACTACCCAATAATTTGAGAATTTAAAAAGTGGGTCTATTTTTTTGAGAATCAATTTGAAGAAGCATTGGGTGGTTCTGATTTCTGTATACTATGGGGAAATCTGAAAAGTGGGTTAAATATTGGAACTAATATTGGTGTTGAGTTTGTTTAATAGAATATTAATATGAGGCTGTTCGGCCTTTTCAATTTTGGGTCCAGAAAAGCCCTGAAGTTTTATTGTGAATGAAGGGGAATTCTGAGGGATAAAGGAGATGAAGCTGAAAATTGTGGGTTTGGAGGTACAATGACTGGAGGGTCATTGGGTCTACGGACAGCAAGTTATGGATCAATGCAACAGCCCCAGAATGATGTGTTTCAGATACCGAATTCATTCAATGTGCGCAAGCCTTCGAAGATGCCCCTTTCTGGTTTGAGGGAGAAGGAAAGATTTCTCCCCTTTATTTGCAGATATTTAGGTCGAAGGAATGTCGGAATGCTGATTTTGGTTGCACTGGCTCTTTTGGCTTTTTTAATAGGGTTTATTACAGTGAATAAAGGTTTGTTTCTCTATCACCTTTTTCCCTAGCCATTTTTTCCTTCATATTTTGAAGTTCCTTGTATTTGAAAGGCACTGCAAACATCAAATAGGGTTTGATGTGAATATTTACAATATTTTTTTTGTTGTTCTGATTGATTAACTTTGATTGTGTACTGAGGAAAAGATGCATGTTTGAACCTTCAACTTTGATTTTTAATTTTTCTTAATGGTATTTTTAATTATGCTTTTAAGCTTTTACGTTGGCTTAGTTTGATGAATAGTAGACAGGAGAGTAGGGATGGAGCCAACAATGTTTCTACTTGATAGTGCTATATGTGTTTACTACTGTTAGGACCCAAAAGATGGTGAACTATGATACTTAAAAAAAACGAAAAATTATGTAATAATATACTATGCTGAATGGTTAGGATTTATAGATTTCCTTGATTGTTAGATCTCGTATGAGCTATTTCATTAGATTATAATTTATATATTGTTGTTAGAAATTACTGCACCTATACCGTTCCTTGAGTCCACAAAGCTATGTTTTTTCATGGCTGACGTACGTTATGAGATGCTTCTTCATTTAGTCCACCGTGCTACTTTAAGTTCAATTTTATGTTGTTATTTTTTGAGTGGCTAATAGTGGATTATTAACTTATGTACATGATGGCTTGTTTTCATTAGAGGATGCATCGGAAAGCGCTAGTTCTTACATTGCTCAGACAATTCAAAACATGGAATTGTCTATGGTGAATACTGTCACAGTATGTGGTGAAAACAACAGCCAGCATCCACCTACCTCCCATTCTTCTGTTTCTAGAGTTGTTGCAGACTCTGCTCCTCTTCTGGGAAATCCATGCAAACATTATGCAATTCCCCCACCCCCTCCTGGTGAAAGAAAACGGATTGGACCACGCCGTAAGTTTGTGCCCTAGTTTCTTTAACTAATTATTCCATGTTTGCACACAACACAGTTTATGCTTCCATGTACTGCAGTTAGGACAAATTTAAAATAATAATATTTTGATTATATCACTACTCCTGGGGCCTTCTATTTGATATTGTTAATATAGACATCAAGAGGTACACCCTGTTGTTCTATGTACACTCGATAGTTGAAGATTTAAAGCAAAATTTATGTGCATGTACTATATGTAATGCTGAAGTTTTGTTAATTTTGTTCTTTGTCATTGTCCTCAGCATGCCCTGTATGTTACCTTCCTGTGGAGCAGGCTATAGCCAGAATGCCAAGATCCCCATCAGTATCAGCCGTGATTCATCATTTAAATTATTTCCGTGAGGAAAATCCAATAAAAACAGAACCACATGGACGCTATGAGTTCGGTCGGTTTCCTTCTTTAAAGCAGAGGAATGAATCATTCAATATAAAAGAGTCAATGACTGTGCACTGCGGGTAGGTTTCGTTATTATAAGCCAGTTTTTTTCCAGAAAATCTTCCATGATGGCCTTGTGACGGTATTTACTAATAAAAGGAATGATAGCATGCCACAATACTTCGTCATATTTTAACATGTGTTGAATTTCTGTCATGAGTCACTGCTGGTGCATGTTCCTTTTCTGTCAGATTTGTCAAAGGATGTAGACCTGGTTATCAGACTGCGTTTGATATTGATGAAGCTGACCTTAGAGAGTTAGAGCAGTTCCATGACGTCATTGTTGCATCAGCCATATTTGGTACAAGCATTAAACATCTTTTAAAATTCAGACTTTCTTCTTTTACAAGAGATGACGATAAATTGATCTTTATCCCATCTCTCCCCGTTCGATGCCATGCATGCATATTTACTTCTATGCTACAATGGCTTGTTGGAGCTTTTGTCTTTTATGAATATGCTTTCCTTTTTCTGATGATTTCAATGTTTCCAGGAAACTATGACATAATGCAACAGCCTACGAACATTAGTGAAGTTGCAAGGGAGAATGTACCCTTCGTTATGTTTATTGATGAGGAGACAGAGAAGTATATGAAGAATTCTAGTGGCTTGGATAGCAGTAAGAGGGTTGGATTATGGAGAATTGTTGTTGTCTGTAACATACCTTACACTGACCCAAGACACAATGGAAAGGTCAGTTAAGGTGATTCTCACTTGATAAAAACTTATGATCAGTTGTTTTTTATTCCTTTCATGGGGAGGATACTCCACTCAACTCAAAAGGTCTTGTCCTGTCTCTTTCACGGAGAGGATATAATATCTAAACTGTCATGAAAAAGAGACGTAGATGACTTTCATAGTCCAACTAAATCAGCAAAGTAGAAGGCAAAATGAGCATGCACAAGATTAGGCATTAATGTTCATGACTCAGTGTATGAACAAAATGGCATCAAAATGAGCATGCACAAGATTAGGCATTAATGTTCGGCCTCTCATGTTTGCCTATAATCCATGGAGACTCTATTGCAACAATGAGAAATTGAAGTGTTTGTTCAGCAATGTCTTTATGCATGATGCGGTATTATTTAATTATTAACACACCATTTTGGTATTTAAATTCTGTATCTAAAAGTACTAGGTATATCAAATCTATTACAACTTTGAGCTGTCGGATAATGAATTTCATGTTGAGTTAGTTACATACAGTTATGGGTTATTTGTCTTGGACAAATTGACATGTCTCCTATCTGTATCTGTCATTGCTTGGCATAATCAGTTTAATTAGAAAAAGAAACTTTGTTTTCTTGTAGAGAACCTAACTTTTAACATTGATGTATTGAGAAGTCGTCATTATTCTTGTTTTTGCATTATGTTCATGAATTCAATCCTCGATGTTGGGTATGTCAGTTGTATATGGAGTAAAGTTATTCTTATTATAAATAGCAGTTGCAATATGTATATCAAACTTGCGTGATGCCTTAAATTTTCAATTATTCAGGTTCTTGTGGCGCCAAAATGCCACTTTTGCTATTTCAAGACACTACAGACGCTTTGATGTATTTGAAGAAGCTGAAGCTAATAAAGCTGCAGGGAAATACGACAATGCCTCTATTAATTACCAGATTGAGATCTATAAAAAGCAGGGTTTAACACCATACTCTGACGCTAAGCTTCCTATAACTAGTGGTAGGTGGATGATTTACAAGTCTGTGTTTTTTGCATATTTTTGTATCTCGAAAATTGAGTTCTCACTTCATGTCTGACTTTCTGCAGATTTTCCTGAAGGGTGTGTGATTATAAGGGAACACATTCCCACCACAAATTTGTTCACCTGTTTGTGGTTCAATGAAGTCGATCGTTTTACTTCCAGAGATCAGTTGAGCTTCTCCACTGTACGGGACAGAATAATGGCTCAAGTTAACTGGAGTGTTGATATGTTTATGGATTGTGAAAGGCGAAATTTTGTGATTTAGGCAGTAATTTACTTAGTACCGTATATGTGTATTTGTGAGATTGATAAATCAGTTCAATAATGTACCCTTGAATGATCTATTTTTACTCAAAGAAAGTGGTTTTAGTCAATTTCTTTGTGTTCATATTTTAAATGACAACTTTGAAACATATTGGAAACATATAGTTCTCATTTCAAATAACCATGAAAAATGCAATGAATTGATAGGGTTGGTTTGGCAACGGCTCATTGGGCTTTTTTGGCTCAATGAGCCATAAAAGACAGAATAGGCTCATGAGTCACAACAGACAAAACATCTCATCCAACCCCATAATCATTACACTCTTCTCTCACAAAAAAATCAAAAAAGCCAAAAAACCAAAAGTCCTTTCCAAACTAAGTTTTTGAGCTCAGGCTCATATAGTCAAAAAAGTCAAAAAGCCAACCCACTTCCCAAACGGAGGCAGAATATCTTTGATGTCTAATAAGTTCTGGTAAAGGATAAGCAATTTTTGTTTTCAACCTTTTTGTTATTAATAATAACCGACATTGATAATCTGAATTTGATGCAGGCATACCACAAAGATCTGTTGAGGCAAATGGCTCCTCCGGCTGGTGCCATGATTCAAGCTCCTCTGGCTGGTGCCGTTCGTCATCCTCCACCACCACCACCACCACCACCTTTGGTTAGAGATAACATGGCCAGAAGGACTACAATAAAGAAGAATCCCATTCGACGTGGAAGAGATAGGAAATCTGGTTCAAGGCATCACCGGAAAGTTGTCATTGGCGGTCAGGACAACATTTCAATTTGATTTTTTTTTTTTTTTTCTCTTTCAAATTATTCATCACGAGGTAGGATGATTCCGGGAATATGTGTGATATGGTTAAAAGAGAAAAAAGGTTCCAATTTTTGCTTGGAAATTGTCAATACCCATCCATTTTTGTTGTAAATACCAAAATTACAGCTAATTTTGAAATGAAAAATTCTTGATACCAGTTGGTTATCATGTTTCCTGTCATCAAAATTGAGTATCCGCAATAATTGTAGTTGGGTTGTCTTTTTTACTGGACTAGCTTCTGAAAAAGTCGAGGATAGTCAAGAATTACATTTTGATTGATTGTCTTTTGTAATACGATGCACTGTTGAACCAATTATTGTCTTTTGTTTTTTTGCTCAATGAAGTAATACTAGGAGGAGAAGCAACCAGAGCATGGTAACTTTTTCAATCTGTGACTCTTTCTAGTTGTGAAATTGACATGTTTGTCGAGATGCGGAGAAGTAGATATAATCTTTCAAAATAGACACAAGTTTCCATAACATGAAACACCGATGGTGCGTCGGCCACATAATAATATTCAATGTGAATGGTTGACTAGTAGTTGGGTTGGCGATTCAAAAAAACAATGCGGCACAAGACTACAAAACAATTTGCTTGAATGCTTTCGCCATCGTAATGTGAATTGATGAACCAACCAGTTTTAGGGCTTTTCTTTAGGCTATGTTTGGTTGGGAGATTTAAGGAGGGATTTGGAAAGGATAAAAAAAAAGTTAAGTGAAATGTGAATAAAATATACTTACATTTCACTTAATTTCATACACTTTTTTCTTTTCCATTTCTCTTTTCCTTTTCATTTTCAAATCTCTCTCTAAATTTCCCAACTAAACACACCGTTAGTGATCAAAAACTAAAGCAAGTCCAAAAGCCACCTATTTTGGGAGACTATACGGAGTGCCTACTTTTTCTTGGTACAATGGAGTGCCTGCGTTACAACTTGCACAAAAGTACTTTCCTGTTAAGACAAAAAAGTTTCTTCCATGGTTTGGTGAATGGTTATTATGGCTGCGTTTTGGGTTGATTTTCTTAATTATTTTAATCTGGATTAAAAGATAGACTAGTTTTTGACTTTTTTAACTTTTATGAGAGAAAAAAAAATAATTATGATTTAGATATGACATTTTATCTTATTAGATTAAAAAGTTTATTTTATTTTTTTGTGACTAAAATAATCAACGCATATACCAAACGAACAATATAATTCACATTAATGAACTAAAGTTATTGATTAATAAAATTTTAATTATTACTATTTTTTTTTACGACACTACAGTTATTTTTAACTCGTTAACTGATGTCTTTAAATTGCTCATTGATAAAATCCTTATAAAAGTAATGAAATCTCAATGTTAATTAAAATATATACAACAAATTGTTGATATTGTTATATTTGTGATTCAATAAATGCAAATAAATGTTATGTGACCCATTACACATGAGCCAAACTTGGCTTGCTTTTTGCCGGGGGTGGTATGATTTTGTTACTTCCTGGAATTTTACAGAGCTTCTGGTAGTCTTTGATTGGTTTAATTTTAGAATTATAATTTGAAAAATATGAACTATGAGTTGAGTTTTGAAAAAAAAAAAAAAAATTATTTGGTTATGTATTTTGAAAAAAGTTTTGAAAAATGTTTTAAAAAGAATTTTTAAATTTTGAATTTTGAAAAGAGTTTTAAGTTATATTTTGAGTTTCGAGTTTTTAAATTTTGAGTTGTATTTTGAAATTTTTTGGATTTACTTTTTTAAAATATTTAAAAAAATTTAAGAAAATTTTATTTTTATTTTAAATATATAATTTTTATATTTTTTTTATTTTAAATAATTTATTTTATTTTGTAAATATTTTAATTTTTTTAATATTTCAAATTCAAAACATAACCCCACACACAAATCATAACCAAACACAAAACTCAAAACTCAATTCAAGAATTATTTTCAAAACTCCTAACCAAACATCTAACGTAACTCTACATTACTTTGAGAACTCCACACCCAAATACATAACTAAAAAATTAAAATATTTTAAAAAATAAAGTAAAATATTAAAATAAAAAGTAAAAAAATATTTTTAAAAATTTATATATTTAAAATAAAAAATAATTTTTTTAATTTTTTAATATTTAAAATATTTTAAAAAATACAACACAAATATATAAAATATAGTGCACATTTAAATAAATAAATAAATATTTAAAATATAAAATATTTACCCTAAAAAAGTAAAATTAAGAAAAATTTTAAAAAATAAATCCAAAAAATTTCAAAATACAATTTAAAATTATTTTTAAAACTCATAACTAAACAAATTTTCTTTTTTTCAAAACTCATAACGCAAAACATAACTCCACACTCAAATTATGATTTTAAAAATAATTTAAAAAAACAAAATAAATTTTTTTTTTGATTTTTTTTAAATAGAGCTTTGGAAAGAGTTTTGAATTGCGTTTTGAGTTGTGTGTTTGATTATGAGCTTAAAATAAAATAATTTTTTTTTGATTTTTTTTAAATAGAGTTTTGGAAAGAGTTTTGAATTGCGTTTTGAGTTGTGTGTTTGATTATGAGCTTTGAAAATAATTTTTGAATTGAGTTTGATATTGTTGGCTTTTTGACTTTCGAAAGTTATTATTGTAATTTTGAGCGTGCCAGTAAGGATTAATCAGTTCTTACAGAATATTAATTGCCAACCAATTATCAGACGATTGTATTTTAGTTCTTTCAGCCTCAACGAAAAGGACTTTTACTAGTAGTTTTGTTTAGGAGAATTAAACAAACAACGATTAATATGAAGAACAATTGTAAGATTTCATTAAGTAAAATGAAAGACTTATAAAGATCCAAATCAGCTTCGTAGAGGTTTACAGTAACAAATTACTTGGAATTACTCCTATGAACGAAGTGTAGTGCAGCAATTTGAAGTACAGCAATGTAAAAACTGGAAGGAAAATAAAATAAATAAAAACTGGTTTTTTGGATCTGAGTCTGGGCTTCTATCTAGAGCCTTCTCTGTTATTTATACTTCCTAATGACAACCGTCGAAATGCATTTCTAATCGTCGAATCATCCCTCTATGATCGCTGATTATGTTGCCTTACAGTTAGCTCCATTATGCCATATCTGTAGTTAGGCTTCCCTCCTGATTTTGAATTTAAATATGAGTAACCGTTGAAGCTACGTCATTTTGTATCTCTTTACTGATCCAGTGCTTTGAAGATCTACAATAACCAATACTAACTGCCACGTGTGTGATTACGATTGAAGATTTGAATTATTTTTCCGTATTGCCCTCATCCTACCACGTGTCGAACTGTGATTAGCTTATATAAAATATGTAGCCAACATTACCCCCCGGACTAATATATACCCAATACTTGGTGATATTAGTGGATCAAGGTATTTTACCCACATCTTAGAACGTGCATGGGTTTTGCATTTTTCAGAAATGCAAAACCCATTCATCAATGAAACATTTGCATTAAATTCTCTTCTAATCTTTGAACATCCCCATTATCTCAGTATTCGAAAAGACTGATACATCTTTTATGGCCAAGCCAGTCTTTTCTTACATTGATCAAGCATACAAAGAGTTATTTGATGATGTTGTTCGTCCTCGAAAGAACCTTCATGCATTGATTAGCCACCTTTATCCACCTCTATTTATACAAGTTATGGAAGCTTTCGCAAATCACCAACCTTCGAACCAAGAACCTATTGCTTACGATTCTTTGGAACACAAATTTGTAATCATGGTTATCGGAAGCTCTTCTTCTGCAACAAAGCCTTCCGCATGGGATGAAGTTGCTGTTTCTTTTTCTTCTACGACCTTTGGTTGGGGAACTTGGCTTGTCCCTACTCAACCTCAGACGAGGAAACGTATTCATCACCGATTCCTATAATT